GATGGGTCAAAGATAAATAACGTCTCACGTTACATTTTATTAAATTCAATGCACGTTTATATTCAGTCCAGAAAAATGAAAGAATCCGTTTTAATCAGGTGAATATCTCAGGATATGTTCATCTACAGTATTCAGAAGCAAAAGTTGGAATTTTTAGCTGCATTCCATGTTTTTGACTAAATGAGACTCTCTCCAGTGCTGAGCAGCAAGTTTTACGCTATCTTATTCATTTTCATTGTTAAAATACAGTATTATTATTACTCAAAACGGAATAATTTACTCTCTGTCAGCAAGTTAATTATGTCAAAGTGTTTTGAACGGTAATATTAAAGTTTAAGGGGAAAACTAAAAATGTATCCTTGAATATTCTACATTCTGCAGGTGGAAAACTTGAACTTAACTTGATGCCCTAAAATATTTGATTAACCGCATCGGCTATGTAAAGGGCAACCATTATATTTATGAATGAACAAGCACCGAAGCAACCTACTTATGAACTGTTCGTTATGATTCTGTTCCTCTGACAGTTTCTCCATTTGCTTCACCTCCCACAGCTTTGGAAGGACACAAAGTGTTCATGATCCAATGGGAATAGTGTGACCTTTGATAGCAGCGCACTGTTCATCTGTGATAGATGAAAATTATCATGCAAAAAGTAAGACTTTTGGAAAAGCTCTGAAGCTCAAGACAGTTCCCAGTAGAGGCATTTTGATATTTATTGCCTGCTGCCATAAACAACAGATATCAAAGCTGATCGACCATAGTCGGCACAAACATGGCTCAAACCAACAGATATTAATCTCAAAATTGGTTTGGCTAACATTCCTAACACAGTCATCATGCTGCTAACAGATCATCTAAAAAAGTTAAATCTGGTCCTCTGGACATTCAAAAAGACAAAACAAAGCAAAACAACAAAAAAATGTAGAAACGTTTCGTCTCTCATCCAAGAGACTTCCTCAGTCTGAGGTGCTGTTTTCAGCTCAGTCTCTTAAATAGCACCTTCTCAGAGTGGATCAACCAGTTTTGCTGCCGACAACCAAAACCAGCTGATCACATGCTCAATAAGGACCATCAGCCTAACAATTGATCATTAGCACCTGATGGCTGTTTACTGTTCACAGAGGGCTGAGTGATACTAGCAATAACAGCATTGTAAGGGGGGACAGTTGAACACGGAGGCCTCCACCCCTGTTTAATGATGGACGATTTCTTTTCACAAAGATGGCCTCCTTTACTCCTCTCTCAAACCATCGTTCCTCTCTGTCCAGGATGTGAACATCTTCATTCCTGAAAGAGTGACCGCTGGCCTGGAGATGAGTGTAGACCGCAGAGTCCTGGCCTGATGATGTTGATCTTCTGTGCTGGGCCATCCTTTTGGCCAGTGGCTGTTTAGTTTCCCCGATGTAAGACTGATCACAGCCCTCCTGACACTGAACAGCATACACAACATTACTCTGTTTGTGCCGGGGGACTGGATCTTTGGGATGAACCAGTCTTTGCCGTAATGTATTTTGGGGTTTAAAAGCCACTGGGACGTTATGTTTAGAAAATAAACGTCTCAGTTTCTCTGATACCCCCTCAACATATGGAATGACCACTGGTCTGGGTCTGGGTTCCTCCTTTTCACCTGTTGGGTGACTGGAGTCCTGTTTGGGTTTCTTCTCTGCTTTCAGGAAGGCCCAGTTAGGATATCCACATTGCTCTAGAGCCTGTCTTGTGTGGGATTTCTCCTTCTGCCTGGCTCTAATACTAATAACTTATCAACACCATCACTATTCCAATAACAACACATTCAGTTTAGGACAACACTCCAGTAGTCAATTACATGCCAGGGAGACAGAAAAGTGGGTGAAGAATTTATCTGACAGACAGCTCACCCAGCCTGAGACAGAGATTCTTGCCAGGGGACTGAACTTTGCGGTTGCACCAAGTAGAATTCCTCTGGTGTAGATGATCACAGCTACAGAGTCAGCCATCCGCAACAACAAAATGAAAGAGGGTGAAGCAGAACAGCTCAGAATCAAAGTTTCAGCCTGCCTCAGCAATGCCAAACCACCACCTTCCAACATCAGTAGAGAGGAGAGGGATGCACTCACCACTCTTAGCAAGGACATAAACATCATCATTCTCCCAGCAGACAAAGGAAGGTGCACAGTGATTTTGAACCAGAAAGACTATCATGAGAAAGTTATGACACTCCTTAGTGACTTAAACACTTATGAACCTCTGAAAAGAGATCCAGGAAGTGGTTACAAGAAGAAATTGATAGATTGCCTGAAAATTTTGGAGCAGGACAAGGCTATTGACCGTTTTCTGTACCACAGACTGTACCCAGGGGAGGCCACACCTAGTCTGTATGGTTTACCTAAAATCCACAAGGTGTACCTTTAAGACCTATTGTTAGCATGATTAACTCTGTCACTTACAATGTTTCCAAATATCTAGCATCTGTACTCATCCCTTTCGTTGGCAGCTCAGAACACCACATACAGAACACCATGGACTTTGTGGATAAGGTGAGGGATGTCATCATGGAGACTGATGAAACATTGGTCTCTTTTGATGTCACATCACTCTTTAAGTGCATTCCTGTTGATGATGCAGTAGAGGTGGTCAGTTTAAAATTAAAATCAGACACCACTCTGAGCAGCAGGACCACGCTTTCCACAGAACAACTGTGTCAACTCTTGAAACTGTGCCTGCAGTCAACCTACTTCACATATGGGGAGCAATATTATAGGCAGAAACATGGGTGGGCTATGGGGTCTCCAGTTTCTCCTATTGTTGCCAACCTGTACATGGAGGAGGTAGAAAAGAGAGCCTTGACGTCCTTTTCAGGGACACCACCAAGTCATTGGTTCATGTATGTTGACGACACCTGGGTTAAAATTAAATCTCAGGAAGTCCAACATTTTACTGACCACATCAACTCTGTGGATAAATACATCAAGTTCACACGAGAAGATGAAAAAAATGGCAAGTTGGCTTTCTTGGACTGTGAGGTCTCAGTCTCTGATAGAGGACATTTGCAAACTGAGGTGTACCGCAAACCCACCCACACAGACCAGTATTTGCAGTTTGACTCCCATCACCCTTTGGAGCACAAGTTAGGAGTCATCAGGACTCTGTATCACAGAGCAGACAGCATCCCCACTAACTCAGGAGCCAGGCAGAAGGAGAAATCCTACACAAAACAGGCTCTAGAGCAATGTGGATATCCTAACTGGGCCTTCCTGAAAGCAGAGAAGAAACCCAAACAGGACTCCAGTCACCCAACAGGTGAAAAGGAGGAACCCAGACCAGTGGTCATTCCATATGTTGAGGGAGTATCAGAGAAACTGAGATGTTTATTTTCTAAACCCAACGTCCCAGTGGCTTTTAAACCCCAAAATACATTAAAGACTGGTTCATCCCAAAGATCCAGTCCCCCGGCACAAACGGAGTAATATTGTGTATGCTGTTCAGTGTCAGGAGGGCTGTGATCAGTCTTACATCGGGGAAACTAAACAGCCACTGGCCAAAAGGATGGCCCAGCACAGAAGATCAACATCATCAGGCCAGGATTCTGCGGTCTACACTCATCTCCAGGCCAGTGGTCACTCTTTCAGGAATGAAGATGTTCACATCCTGGACGGAGAGGAACGATTTTTTGAGAGAGGAGTAAAAGAGGCCATCTTTGTGAAAAGAAACAGTCCATCATTAAACAGGGGTGGAGGCCTCCGGGTTCAACTGTCCCCCTCTTACAATGCTGTTATTGCTAGTATCACTCAGCCTCCTGTGAATAGTAAAAAGCCATCAGTGTGCTAATGATCCATTGTTAGGCTGATGGTCCTTCTTGATCATGTGAGCAGCTGGTTTTGGTTGTAAGCAGCAAACTGGTTGATCCACTCTGAGAAGGTGCTATTTATAAGACTGAGCTGAATACAGCTCCTCAGACAGAGGAAGTCTTTCGGGTGAGAGATGAAACGATTCTACATTTTTTTTACTTTTTTTTTTTTTTTTTTTTTGAATGTCCAGAGGACCAGATTGAACTTTTTTGGATTTTTCTACCTGGATTATTGAGGATCAGGATAAGTTGCAGTTTAAGTTTTATAGATTTTTAAGATTTTACCACAGAATGATGTACACTAATATTTAAAGTTTCTAAAATATATGAGTTTAAGCACATACAGTAATTTTTACACTTCTTTTGAACCCTATATACTTGAAAATGTCAACTTTTTTAGTTTGTTTCCAATACTCTTACTAACTTTTACTGTTTCAGACTTTTCTCTTAAAAACAGTAAACATTATCCATGATTATCCATGCTGCTGATCTCATGTTGCTGCTGATCCATGCTTCTGATCTCATGCTGCTGTATTCATTCATACCCATCTGCTCACACAGCCTCATGTTTGGGCTGCTGTTGTTACACCGTATTGTTTTACATTATTAGTGTTTAGCATGTATCTTAGATCTTTTAGT